CGGTGGGCAGCCAGGCCGAGGAACAGCAGCGCTGGCAGCACGCTGCCCTGCAGCTTCCTACAGCCACGCTGAAATGAGCTGGGCTGCTTTTAATTACTCCTGCCCTACCCAGCGCTGCAGTTGCGCAGCTCCGTGGGTGCGAACCCCGCCACCCCTCCGGGGCTTCTTCGGCTCCTGCGGGATGAGGAGACAAATTAGTAAAGTAACGTCTTTCCCAAGTGCAACCGCACGGTGCCACGGTCAGTGGCTTACTGAGGTGCGGCGGAAGATGTTAACAAGGAGTGTATTGTCCGAAGCAGGTTTTTGGGGGTCGGCTGATTGCAAATCCTGCGCAACTCGAACAGGTCACGGAACCTCCGGGGCTTCTTCGGCTCCTGCGGGATGAGGAGACAAATTAGTAAAGTAACGTCTTTCCCAAGTGCAACCGCACGGTGCCACGGTCAGTGGCTTACTGAGGTGCGGCGGAAGATGTTAACAAGGAGTGTATTGTCCGAAGCAGGTTTTTGGGGGTCGGCTGATTGCAAATCCTGCACAACTCGAACAGGTCACGGAAGAGAAAGGAAGGTTCCCACCAGGGAGCTGTGGTTTTGAGATGAGCTGAGGGATGGCAGCTCTGCTGCTGCGGGTCTTCACCTGAGTGCTTAGAATGAAGGTTTGCACGCTGGAGGGGAGGTTGTCACTGCGCGTGGCATGGCCAGGCAGCTTCTGGGGTGAGAGAAGAGCCTGCAGAGTGGGCTCCGCCACGGTGACCACTGAGGTACTTCCAAATGCAACACAAGTAAGAAACAACACGCTCGGAGGGCACCCTTAGGTAAAGTGCAAATAAATAGACAAAGAAAAAAAATGAGTTTATATTTCAAAGTTGTTTCAACAAACTCACAAATGTTTTTGTTTAGTCTCATGTTTTAATTATTTGTTCCAGACTTTCTGCTTACATAAATTGCTTTCTTTGGTGCTAGACTGAGGCTATGTCTCTTTGTTTATAAAGTTTAAATGCTTTGAAGTCAAGACATTAGAGGTATAAATGTTGTTCTCTTTTGTAATGCCCTATACTCTGCTGGTAGCAATATATCAACAATCAGAACCTCAAAGAAGTTAATTACTCAGAGCACAAATCGTTTTGTGTGGCGTTTCAAGGGCAATCTGGATGTCCTGCTGCTAGCTGAGAATTTGCACTTGGACAGCCGCTTTCCACCCAGTTTAGAAGTAACCAGGCTAAAATGACATTGACCTTCAAGTGAAAAACTTTGGAACTGCAGATTTTTGTATTGAGTCTGACTCTGTTTAAAGACATTGGATGAACCAGCTAATCACAGGTGAATTTTGGCCCCAAATCTTCACAGCCCAAGCCATCAATTTGTCTCACTGTCAAACTGAAAACTCAACCTTGGCAACAATCGTCCCAAGCCTTGACTTTCCTTCTCCAGTTATCAGCTCTCTGATTTTTTTTTTTCCGGTACAGCTCTGGATACACCTTTTCCACGCTCTCCTGCCTCCACGCAGTCCCTACGCCTGCCAGGGGATGCTGCACGGGGTGCTGCGGCCTCCAGAGCCTGCATCCTACGGTAGCCTTGGGTGAACTGCTGGACAGTGGGAGAGAAGAGCCGTGGCACCGAGGAAACACAAGTACCTCTCCCGTGTAACCTCCTTCCCCTGGCGCTGGTTGAGGCCTGGGAGCCCCACACCGGGGCCGTGCCGTGCCCCTGCCTCACTCCCCTGCACATCATTTCCATCCTCGTGGGAGGGGACTGCATGCAGTCGGCTTCATGTGAGCTGAACTGCTTTCCCAGCGGCACCCAGCTGGGTGAGGGCAGACAGAGATTAGCAGGGTTTTTTTTTTCTTCTCCCTAAAACTTCCAAGAGAAGGAGCTTCCATGCCTGCACAAGGTCACCCATCGTGCCCTGGCGCGGTGGAGAGGGGGGCTTGGGGAGGCCACAGGACAGAAAGGCTGCAGCTGGGGATGCAGGTGGCTCACTGGTTGGGAGGCAAGCAGGAGCAAAGAGGTGGGGTTTTTTTTTTCTTTTGTCAGAGCTGAGGCCAAGGGTGTCGGGGACAGGCAAAGGCGTGATTTAAGAGCTGGGATGCAGGAGGACCTTTGCTGCTAGCTATAAATGGTGGAAGGTGAAGGGACTTGGAGACTGTTGTGCCAGGCAGGAGAGCTCACTGGGGCAAGGGAGGGAGATGGTTCTGTTACGGGGGCCTGAATGAGGACAGGCTTGTTTGACTTCAGATGCTGCACCTAAATGGAGAAGGGTTTGAGGGACCTTGCTGCAGAAGGTTGTCAGTACCTGCTGCCTGTTCTGTCAGCGGTGAGGGAGATGTCCTGGGACATAGCTGGAAATAAAACGTCGCTGGTGGTTT